GACAACTCATCTCAATAAATCTCTAGGCACGGTTCCATTCTGGACAGTATTATGGCTGAATTAGCCTTGAGCTAAGAATATTCAACAACATTTTCAATAGAAAGCTATCTTTACTGCCTAGTAAACTTCTCAGCTATGCTGTAATAAATATTATAAAAGGGTTTAAACAGAAGCTATAATCTGAGTGGAAAAAGAAAGTTCTGAACTCTCCTCAGTTTTGATCCTGCAAGGTACTGCAAACCATACCCAAATCCATTAAAATAGTTAAGTACAAATTTAAAGCTCACCACCTGACTAGCCCCAGAAAGCATTTTTTTCCATTTAAAAGCTTTGAGTCAATTCAGTTTTTGTGAAATTGAAGGATTAATAGTATAAATGTGAGCTACAGTCTGTATGCCTAAAATGCTATTTAAATATCCCACAATGCATTATCCAAAGTATTTTAATCCAAACCTTTAGAACCATAGTCATCTAATGCTGAGACGCTGGAAAAAATATGGGTTGTTAATGCATAATTGTATACTATTGATTTCTTCACTCTCTCTTGTTTACGTAGCCTCACATTTCTACTATGGCCTACTTAGCTTTTCTTGTCCTACCATACATAGCAGGAAGTTGCAAAATGTCACAAAATGTTTCATGTGGGATTTGCATTAAATATAGAATACCTGTAGAGGTCTGATTTTCAGAATCAAAACCCAAATCAAAATGACAGCTGTGGCAAGGTTTTAATAGAATAAATCTGTTTACAGTTACAATTAATTATCCATGATCACACTTCCAAGAAGACTTGATAAGGCAGCCAGCTAACTCATAGGTGGCATTAATTCATATTATTTCATAGGTAACAGGCAAACATAGATCTACAGTTCAAAAGTCACACTGTTATGGTTCATTTTATACTACAAGCCAGGTCTCTTACTACTGAGGGCAAATCACGAAGTGAATGTGTACAGACATGCTCTGCCTTTCCACTCCTCTGATCCTGCTGCCGACTCTTAAGCTACTCCATATGTCTCCTGTGTTGGGAGCCGGAAGAAGCTGTACATTGGACTTACGGTACCATCAGCCTGTAGAGGATCTCTGGTCAACTGCTGCATGCTTATATAAGATCTGTTGAACTGTGCTGTATATCGAGAGACCCCCTAAGGAGTATCACCAAGCCCTGCTTCACTGAGCCACTGAATAGAATCTGGCCATTAATGCCTTTAGATTTTCAGACCTACTTTCTACCTTGCTTGAGTAACCACAATGCAGTCATTTACTTGAAAAGTTTCAATATTTGAAGACTTTCAAACTATTCTGGGAGGATGTTTAGTTAAACTTGTTTCATAAACCATGGTATCTTTCTCTTAGAAAACTTTACTGCTGCTTCATTGCATTCTTTAAAAATATTGTGATTCACACTTGCCATGAAATATCTCAATATCTCAAAAGGATTTTTTAAATTATTTTCACAGGATAGAAGATGACAACACGTGATATTTTGAAAAGTATCAAGACTGAAAACATTTCCTAATCAATCAATCAATTTGACTTAGTCCTGGACTGTCAGGAGCTTAAAGCTGTCTGTGGATCTCAATGACACTTGTAGACTGCAATCACTTATAAGTATACATCATGATGATAAAAAAGGTGTTGTATCATATGAATGTATAACAGGATTAAATTTATATAAACACTTAAACAAAAAGCAATAAAGTACAAGCACAGAGATGCTCAGAAACAGTTCATCATGAAAACTGACAAGGAAATGACTATCTGTACTGCAAATTGCATAAAATGATATAGACTAATTAATTGTGCCTATAATATTCCAATGATATTTTTAATGCTACCACAGAAACATTGCTGAAGTAAGATACTGTACCTGTTAAAAGCACATCTACCAATATATCTTCACTAGTAGGGTTTTTGAAGGGTATGATGATGGAAGAATGACGACCAACACAAGTACTTATGCTAGCTGGTTCCATTGGCTGGGGAATGAGGCCAACCCCCAACAGGTGAAATACCCATGTATTAAGCTGTAGAGAAAAACAAAGTGCTTTCTTTTAAACAGTCTCCTCATATATTTATTACAGTTCATGTAAATCCTACTTTCTGCCATTCTAGGTCTAGGATTGTTGAGGAGGGGGAAAATATACAACATTAGCTTTCTTTTTCTGTTCTTCCCTCCCTCCAAACATTATCTTATATGAAATATTGATACCAAAGAAAGAATGGGACTCATGGTCTTAAAGTTTATTGTATAGTAAATAGTGTTGCACAGTGGAAAGAAGTTCAAAGGAAGAACACATCTATTTCTTATCTAAAATCATATAAAAATTGACGCAGGCACATTGACCATTAGAATTAAAAAAGTTTTAAAAACCAACCTGAGATTGATAAAATACCTCAGGATCAGGGATACCAAAAAGTATTGATGGGTTCACAGCACCAATGGAGCAGTTAAAGAAGATAACAAAAATTGCACCTAAAATTTGTCTTTGCATTAGTCTTCACTATACTGGATGTTAACAGTGACACGAGAAAATAGTAGGTCCTGGGCAGGGAATGAAAGTAAAGTATTGACTGAGATTCAGACATCAAAATAAAAGTTTCTCAAACAAAACAAATTAAACAGAAACAAGTCACAAAATGTGGATTATATACACATGAGAGTTCTAAAGGGATTTAGGAATTAAGTGGCTGAGTTAACAGTAGAACTATACAATCTCTCACTAAATCAGCAGGTAAAGTAAATTGCTGTGCTACATAGTGACCAGTGAGTCTGCTGCTTCAATCTTGAGTAAATGGTTAAAAATAATTAAACTCAGGATTATAAAAACAAAGATTAACATGTAACCGCAAAGCAGTTATTTGGGAAATAGATATTAGCATAATTTATCTGGATTTTCCAACACTTTGCAAAGTCCCTCACCCAAACTTATTATTTTTCTTATTACACTACTTTTATGACACCCTTTCCAGAAAAGGCCCAAGGTAGCTTACAGCAAAAACCAAAATAAGTTATAAAAAAACATAAACTATTTAATAAGATCTACACATACATAACAAAAACTCCCCAAACAATACCCCAATGTAACCGTACAAGAGAACCACCTGCCCAAATAAAAGGACTTGCAGTGCTTCCAGAAGCTGTCCAGGCTGTGGCTCTGATGGGCTAAAAGAGGGAGGAAAGTTGCAGAACAGATGAACTACTGCTGTACTTAACCTCACAAATGTTTTTCCACAAGAACTTGGCGCAGACAAGGTACTTGCAGGAGGTTACTCTCAGCTGACTCTATGGATCAAGGTGGAACATAAGGGAGTAGGCAACCTCTTAGGTATTTAGGCCCAAACCATTTAGGGCCTGAGCTTATTAAGCAGTTATATGCTAAAGGATTTATAATCTGTAAGAAACTGGCTAAGATCAAAAAGAAAAAAATAGTAGGCATGAAAGGGCAAACTTTCAATATCAGACTGTTAACAGCGGGTTGTCTTTCTCTGTATTGCTCTACAAGGATCAATACTATGTAATACTTTATCAATGAGCTAAAATGGAGGGTGAATAGCAAGGTGGCAATATTTTCAGATGACAAAAAGCTCACATTAGATAAGACTGGAGAAGAACTGCCAAGAGATTTTTAAGGACCTATGCAAGGTAAATGAATTGGCAGAATTATAACAAATGAAATTTACTGTTCATGAATGCAGAAAAAAGATAGTTAATTATTCCAAGCAATAATAGGAATTCCACTTGTATTACAGAATTGGGTTTTAAATTTGCAGTAATATCCAGGAAAGAGACCTAAGGCCCAGAGAACTGCACAAAATAGTCTGAGGGTCCAGAGGATTGTAAAAAGGGTGGTGATCAAGCCTGCAACCTGTTTGGAGGCATCACCATGCTCAGAAAGAAGGGGAGGGGAGGGGAGGAGAGAGAGAGAAACAGGAATCTCCTGAGCAGAGAAGGGGTTCAAGACCAGCAACCTGGTCAATCAAAAACGCTTTCCTGCATTTAAAAGCTAGGTTCAGATATTCAAAAAGCCAGAGACAGAATTAATCTTAAATTACATACTTTTCTGTAAGAGGTGTAGTTTAGATCAGCAGTGAACAGAACACATATTCACCCTTTGGTGGGGGGCAGGGGGAAGGGGCAAATCTTAGGTGGGTTTCCACCATTTTTAAACTAGTCTATGTATGCTAAACTTCCATTCTGTTGTGGGTATAAACTAGTTTCTGATCACTTGTACCAGTAAAAGTGTAATGTCTGGACCTGGCCATAATTTGTAACATCAAAACGTGGCAGGAGAGCTGGAAGAGTGCACCAAGTGGCCAGAGAAGCAAGCAGGCTGGGGCAGGCCACCAGAGGGTAACAGACTGCCTGAGGCACCCCAGGCTTGCTTCACAAAGTTAGAAATACTTTACACGAGGTATGACTAAAAAGCTTAGGGTTAATCAGTTCACAGAGGAGACAAACACAAGAGACATGTTTGATCTTTGTGAAATAAATATTTAAGATTAATTACATGTTCTTAATTATACTTTTTAAAGATCATTCAATCAAAATGAAGCAAATTTAAAATGTACTAAAGGAGACAATTCCTTGGATATAGTTTAAATTAACTGGTGAAATCTGAGGCCACAAGTCACTTACAAACTCAAAAAGTTACTAGGATTGTTTTAAAAAAAAGAGTAGGTGTTTATATCAATATGGAAGACATCTGTAGTTAAGTCTGGACAAACACAATGGATTTTCTTATTATGTTTTAATTTTGAAAATTGATATTAACTCTAAGGCTCTAGGGCCTAAACCCTGTTATTCAAAATGAATGAGATTGGGGGAGAAATTTCCCCATGGTCAGGTTATTTAAAAAATTTTCATTGGGTATCAACCACTGTAAGAGACAGACCTCTGGCTTAATCCAATATGCTATTGTAACCCAGGTACACCCAAGGGTGTGCCCTATTCTCAATAGGATGAGATGGGTAGGCAGGAAGGGGTGCTGTGAGAGGGATGCCAGAATTTCAAGCAGATTCCTCTTTCCTCTATAGAGTCAGCCCAAGCCCAAAGTTCTTAACTATCTACAATTTATTGAGTTATAATATACATAAACATAAAACTAAATATCATATACATATATTTATACAGTGAACACTAACCAATAACCAAGGTCAAACCCTAAATAACACTATTTACAACATCACAATACAACATTTCAATCACAAAATATAAGGCGCAAACATGAACAATCTTAATAACATCTATTTCCTTAATATAGTCCCTGACCCATGGCAAGAGATAGTCCTCCTTCCAATTGGGTCCCTTGTGGAGGGTGTCCAGGAAGCACCAGGGGCCCCTCCCCTTAGGGTCTTGACTAGGTGGGGGGTGGTTCTGCTCACCCAGCCCCTTCTCTGTGTTTCCCCACCCACACATGTCTTTACCCTGTGGGACCCAAGGTCCCAATGACATGCTCCCTCAGGTGGCAGTGGTCAAGGTGCAGCTCAATGGGGTCTTTCCTGCTGCAGCACCTCTCCAGGTTTCTCCTGCACCACTGGACTCCTCTCCACTCTGCCCTGCTCTGGGCATCGAGGGCTCAGCTCCTCTCAGCTGCTGCACCACTGCTGCTGGCTCCTGGGTGCTGAGCCTCAAGCTGCAGCACTACTATTTCTCCATGCCCAGGCTCAGCACTGAGGGCTCCCTTAGCACAGGTCAGGCCCTTCAGGCTCTGGCCAGTCGTCCTCATGCCAGGTGGCTAAACCAAACAGTCTCCAGTGCTGCCTGGCTCCCAAGGCTTCAGCCCGTGCGCTGCCCTGCACACTGTGGGACCTGGCTGCTTGCTGGGAGATGAGGCCTGAGCCGTCTCACTGCAGGCCCCAAGGCCCTGCCAGGGTTGCAGAACCAAGCCACTGCTTGTGGCTCCCAAAGCCTGGGTTCCGTGCACCGAACTGTGCACTGTGATGGGCCCGAGCAGCCTCACACTGCTCCCAGGGCCAGGTCACTGCGTGCTGTCAACAGCCTGAGCAGTCTCACACTGCTCCCAGGGCTGCTCCTCCAGTGGCAGCTTCAGGAACCTTGGGCCTATTGCTGCTGGGGGAGAGCTCCCCAGCTTTTCTTGGCTCCACTCTTCTTGAGTCTCTTGCTGCATCTGCCCCTCTTGCTGGGCACGCAGCTCTTTTTATACACTCCAGGGCTCTGCCTCTGATGTCTTCTGGACCTGACAGTTTACAGTCTTCAATCAGGTCCGGGGGAGCTCTTCTCCTCCTCCCCTCAGAAAAGGGGCATGACTTTATTTCTCCTACTGCCTCCTGATTGGTGGATGGGCTCCACAAATCAAAACAGCATGATCTCAAGCCTGGGACTCAACCCAAGCTCTGAAAGGTGAGCCTGGTACACTAGTTCATGTGCTTGCAATCCTAAAAGCTAGTACACTGGGTCAAGTTCATCACTAATGTAATCTCTTTGCCAGGAACAAATATAAAATCTCAGTTTAGTAATTAAGTTAGTAATCAATTAACCTAATTTAGTAAATTACTTCCATCTACAACTTTAGCACAAGTCAAAACACACATGTGAAAGTGAAGGAAATGGTAATACTAACAATCTGTTTCAGCCAAGCTTAGAGTAAACTTAAGTTGAAAAAGAATTACTAATTGAGCTTCCACTTCTATCCAGCCATGTTATCCAGTTCAGGTATACAGTATAATCACATTGGACTGTCTGGTAGATAAATTGCCAATGAAACTAAAAGTTATTGAGTTGTTTGTAAAATACAACATAGGCCCCCTTTACACAATTAGATCTGACCCACGATCCACATCATTGCACCTCATGGGGGCCAGGGGTTTCAAACACCCCATAGCCTTGGGGATCACAGCAACCACCATCCCCAAGCTTCAGGGTTTCATGGTGGGCACAGTGCATGCCTGTGGCTGAAAGCCATGTCAGCTGATGGGACCCACAACCACAGAGGAGACCCTGTTACACATGCACATTAAAGCTTGATAGCAACCTGATATAAAGTTAATACACATTTCCAAGGCC